GCTTCATTCTGAGTGGGATAATGTAGTTTTACTATTTTGTAAAGGTAGTAGTATTGAAAGTCTATTGCTCAAGAATACAAACTATTTCAGAGTCATTGATGTATAGTAGTGTATAGTGTGGGAATATGCTCGGCAATAGGCTCAAAATGTGTGGAGTCACGACTACAGTCTGAATCGCAATAGTGGCTAATTTTTTCCAATCGAAATATCCTGTGAACACTTTGTTCAATCTTGTTGTCTCTGTACCGTTCTTCTTATGTGCCTTGCGTTTGGGGACTTTCAGCCCAGCTTTTGCCTGACATGGCTCTTCTCAGAATCTATTTAGTATTTACCTATATTTGCGTCCTCTTATAAATTTCATTTATGGCATGGATTGGATGAAAGTTCAGTAAACGAATGTTAAATGTTCCTGGAATTTTATTATTCTGTTTATCGGATTGCATCTGGATTTGAACGTGGACCTCTGTTTCAGCAGTTCATGGGTGTTGTAGCAACTGAGCTACGCCCATCGGTACGATATAGTAGGGCTCGTGTAAATTAGGTCAGCAGACTGAGCATCAAGTCAGCTCTACTCTTGGTAGAGACATTTTAATTTGATGTTTTTCAAATCTTTCATGGAATTGAACAGTCCACTTTTCCGTGTTTGCAACCCCCTTTTGGATCCAATGCAATCGAATGAGGATTGAACTGGCTTCTTGCCCTGTTGTTCTTTCTTACATCTGTGTGCTCTTGATTGCCGTTGCTTGTGTGCAGAAACCAGATGAGCTTTATCGATCACTTGGGTGCAAGCTAGTTGTTGGGATGCCCTTCAGAGTGCGTTGTTCCCTTCCCTCCTGTTTTAGCCATATATAAATCTCTTTTTTAATTTAAGACGGAGCCTACGCCCGGACTTGAACCGGAGGCCTTTCCCTTACCAAGGGAATGCTCTACCACCTGAGCTACGTGGGCTCACGGGGAAATTGGAGACGATCAGACTTTCTTCTACTTCTTGATGTTTCTATGGTAATTGTGTTGGGTTGCATGAATATTGCTCTGTGTGTGTGTGTGTGTGTGTGTGTGTGTGTGTGTGTG